CATCAGTCATTAGATTCCCATAAGAAGCGTGCAATTCACAATAAGGGTTCATGCGCCTATGAGAATCTAATTCTGCAGCTGATCTGATGGGAGCCTGAGCTCTACTCACCCACCTATCATCTCCCACTGTGAAGCCTGGTTCCTAACAGGCCATGGATCAGTACTGGTCCACAGCCTGAGGAATGGGGGCCCCTGTCTTATATATAGAAGAAAACTTCCCTTGTTCTTATGTCACATATATTCTTCTAACAGTTTTAGACTTTTGCTTTTAATTTTGCCTTTACATAATTATTTAAAATTTATTTGTGATCAAGTGTGTGGCTCATGCCTGTGATCCCAGCACTGTGAGCAGTTGAAACGGGAGGCTTGCTTGAGGCCAGAGGTCCGAGACTAGACTGAGCAGCATAATGATATCTAATGATAAGCAATAAACTATTTATTCCTAATGAAATACTATACAAGCACTGAAAATGAATTAAGCCACATCTCTGAAAATGACACATCTCATAAATGTAAGGATTAATAAAAAATTTTAAAGGCACATACTGTCCTTGGTAAAGACTCAAGTATTTGCTGAATAAAGTGTTCAGAATTATCATTTCAAAGGTAAAGTGCAATATGCACTGCAGCCACTAGAGGATGCCTTGTTTCTCTTTTTTGTTCCTCCTGAACAAGACAGAAAAATTCAAAATGCTTTAAAAACAAAACACTTTTTATGCTAAAGTGATTTACTATATATAAAACTGCAGTGATTGAAAAATATTAACATTCACAAACTTCTTATTTTATTATTACTAAGCACAGGTATATTAATCAGTATTATTTCTTAGTATTTCTCTTTTTAAAAAATCACATTTTATTCGGATGTAGCGAAAAAGAAAACTGTTAGCCATGGCTGAGTTGTTTGGAAAGCTCTGAAATAAATGCATAACTATTAAATTTTTTAAAGATATATTCACGTGGCAATAGAAATTATCTAGTAGTTCCATAGAATGTTTACTACACTCTGAAAAACAAGAAAACATTAGATATTACTAATACTTCAAATCGACCAAAAACTGGCATTTAGAATGTAACTTGTGGTTATTTTAAGGCTATTAAAGACATAAATATTTAAATACTAAAGTGACTGAAGCACTTGTTTAAAAAGCCATCTTTTATATTTTCTTTGCTAAGGTACAAACTTTAACAGTTATCCTCATCATTCAGATGAAATATTAGTTATAAAGGCCTCGATAAATGAAAATCTTGCCAAGTAGATGGGAAATTTCCCAATACTATGAATAATAAGCTATTATAAGTAGAACTCAGCAATTATTAATATTCTAGTGTTTACTACTTCTTATACATTATTAACTGATAACTAAACCTTGATGTATTCTGGAAAAGAAATGCACCTACTGGGAAAACTGGGCAGTTGACTTGTTATACAAAATCACACAGACAAGTCCATGGTTATAGAATGGGAAGTATTATAGAAGCAGAAAACTAGATTTGCATAGGAAGTTGGTCATGAAAGAACCTCTACATTCAAATTCTTACAACTCTCTGAGGAAACATTTAAATCTATTTCCAACTTGCATTTTTGAACTCAGACCCTAAGGTAAAGATACTCCCTTTCAGCCCTATTGACTTAATTGCTTTTTCAGGGTCTAGCTGCTAAAACAATTGATACAGTAAGTCCCTTACATACAAATGAGTTCTGTTTTGAGTCCTGTTCCTAGTTCTGCTCTTAAGTCCAACAAAATTAGCCTAGGTACCTAATACAACTGGCTATATAGTACTGTACAGCAATAGGTTTATAATAATTTTCATACAAAAAAAACAAACAAAAAATAAACATTTCTAACCTTACAGTACAACACCTTGAAAAGGTTGAAAGCTGCTGTAGTGCAGTACAGTACAACAGCTGCCAAACAGGTGCTGGCATTGAGTGAACAGGAAAGAATTACTGACTGGAGGAGGGAGAGGAGGTGAGATGGTAGAGCTGAAGGTGGTAGAAGATGGAGGGGAAGCTACAATTCCATTCACACCTGATGTTGTCGGCACAGGTTCTGGGTCCTTCCTGGTTTCAATTCTATCTACCCTCTTGAAAAACCAACTCAGTGATGTTAGGTAGTAGCTTTTTTTTCTTGTCATAGATGGATGACAACGGCAGCACTGGATTGCATTCCAAACAGCTGCTGCACACTTCAGGTACCATTCTATGTTTGGGTCCTGTGCCTCAAAAACTAAAAGAGCCTCCTCAAATAAAGAAAATCCCCTTGCCGTTTCCTGCATCTCTTTGGTTTTTTAGTTACTTCCTCCTCTATTCTCTCTTCGTCCCTTGCCTAGGCCTCCAATTCCATCAGGTCTTCAATAGTAAGCTCCTCATGTTCCACAGCAAGGAGGCCAATGAAGTCATCCTTTTGCAGATCTAGCTCTGGCTTCTTGCTGAAGGTCACTAAGTCACTGAAGACCTCTTTGGACTCCTCTTCTCAAATCCACAAAAATTGTGAACAAACTGTAGGCAAAGTTGCTTCCACATGACAACGCATGCCAGACACGTGAACTAACTTATGTGATTGGACATGCAAGCACATGTTTGCATCTTTGAAAGTTTGCAATTTGAAGGTTCATATGTAGGGGACTTACTACATTTGTTTTATTTTTTAAGACCTGTCAAATGGTCTCAATATATGCTAATATTTCATTAATTAATAACAGACCATAATAACAATATTCATTGTGAACCAGGTACCAGGCACTGGGACAAGAACATTCACAATTTTGTGTACTTTCTTTATCCCCTTTCACAGACGAATGCAGGTAAGGCTGAGAGAAGTTACATAACTTTTTCAAGGCCTCACAATAAATAATTTGTAGAATTGGCATTTCTATATGATAAAAGCAATTTACTTCAAGAATCCTTAGTGCAGTAGGTTTCTAAATTTCCCCATTACAGAGATGGAAATACTGGATAGAAACAATCAATTTCTAATCATGCCCTACCCATGCCATTCACTAATCCTCCATTCCTGCAATTGGTTCCAGGAATTGGTTCCATCTTTAATCTTTCCTGCAAACCCAATTAAAATAAGAATCAGCAGCCCTTTTTGCTGAAATATCTAACAGGATACAATATTTGCCATTTTGATACTATTTTCCTAATATCAGAGTTTTTTATGTTTTTCTTTAATATGCAGTATATAAAAATATTTATCATTAAAATATCAGGAGCTAATATCCCATTTAAAAATACTTCAAATTCTTGGTACTGACATTATTTTTTTAAACTTCTAAGAAAAACAAAAATTCAAAAACCCAAAGCCCCATTCAAATGAAAATTTTAGTTTACTGAGGTTGGGTAAACTGAAATTAAAGCCTAGGCTTAACTGTTGGCATATCTTTACATGTAAACCAATAACCTGACCTAAGGTTATATAAGAATGCTCTGTTTTTATTTTTCCACAGAGCTGAAGGGAATACTTTACTGCTTCAATGTAGTATGTCACTTTACGGCAGGATATTCAGTATAGGTTAGGCATAGATAAGATTCTTGCAGGTGGTTTTTTTAAAAGGGTATGCATTCAGGCATTCTTTTTCTTATCAGCACACCAGACCTGACCACCCTGCAAACTGGATTCTGAACTTACCAGTGCAGCCCACCCTTTCAGTTCCTGGTTAGCATAATAATTGCTGTAAAACCCATCACATTTCCTGTTTAGGAATGTTCATCAAAGGTGGAGAAATGGTAATCAGCCCACCTTTTAGCTCATGGCTAGCATAATAAGCCCTGTAAAAATCTATCATGTTCCCTGTGGAACGCAAAGACACATTCAGGAAAACCCCACTCTCTTAGCTGATCAAAGGTGGAAAAATGATAATCGAAACTTGGGGCCAGATACCTGCAGCCCACCCTTTAACTCATGGTTAGCATAAAATTGTATAGGTATATCAAAAGCAAAAGCGTGTTCTCCTAAGATGTCCATCCTCATCGGGTATGCCTCCTTCTCTCTATCTAATGAACTCGATCTTAAAACTATACTGGATCCACCCTGAAATTCCTTTCTATGGCAGGTCAAAGAACCCACAGAGCATCACACTGCACCCCCCCCCACCTGGTCACAACTTACTTGACACTTGTAATTATTGCTGCCTATGTAATTTGGTGCTTATTGGAAACTGTACAGTAAGAAAGGAAACCTAAAACTAACAAAAGTGGCAATTTGTGTGTTAAGAAAATAGAAACGATCAGGAATAGCAGTCTAATAGTATTGACTGGAAAATATCCCCTTCACCTCCTCAAACTGTAAGCAAGGAATGACATAAAAGATAAACGTGGATTTTCTAAGTGTAGGAGTATACTTACTTTATGTGCTATCACTTGATAAAGAAAATCAAAACTCTAAAGCATCCACCTTTCAAAACCATGAAATCTAGCCTACATAAATGAGTCGGAAAGATTGCAGGGCGTAGTGGGAAAAGAATAGTTTTGGACATGTGAGAAACTGATGCTAATTCCCTTGAATACTTACTAGTGGAGTTGATTAGACCAGGTCATTGAACCTTTCTAGGTTTAAGCTGACTTATCTCTCTACTGGTGGGACAGCATTTGGTGTTTTGAAAGGTTCTGTTGTGCAAATTGTGTATTAAATTCTAAGTGCTAATTGAGCACCTAACAGTTGTTGTCCATGTCAAGGATGTTCACAGTTCCAGGCAAACCCAAACCTCACGAGCTGCATTTTCAGTTTCACCTCTGCGTTCCCCACGCCCAGTTCCCTGAGCTCCAAGACCTCGGTGCTGTCGCTAGGCCTCCCGGGTGCGCAAGCACATGGCAGGGAAGGAAGGGGTAGGAAGCTCAATTGTAACTACTGTCCTGGGCACTTGCTACCCACGTGCGGAGAAAATGTCACCCACGGGCAGCACACGGCGAGAACAAGTGAAGCGCACTAAAGGGGCGGCGCGCCCCCGGGCGAGAGGCCACCGTTTGTGCCCCACCACACCTCAGGGCACTTTACCTGGGGCTTATCCGGGTCAGGCCCGATCTCGGGAAGGAGGGCTCCTCAGGGCGAAAGCAGGACCTAGCGCCATTGAAGCTCCAGGGCAGGGTTCGCCTCTGCCCCCTGAAATGACAGCTAGGAGAGGTATCCCTAAGGCACCACCGCAATCGCCCCTCAACCACGGAACGCCTCCAAGGGCTACCCGGCCTCGCCTGCCCTCGCGATAATTCTCGGGCCAATCCCCCGTAGGTCCCGTCCCCTTCTTCCTTCTCCGGCCAATCATAGAGGAGTTATGGGCGGGGCTTTTCTTTTGAGCGGAGAGCGGGGCCTTCAATCTTGGCTCTCTGGTGCCGAGAAGAGGCGGGGCTGAAGCGGGCTGGGGCGGGGCTGGGGCGGGGCTGGGGCGGGGCTGGGGCGGGGCTGGGGCGGGGCTGGGGCGGGGCTGGGGCGGGGCTGGGGCGGGGCGAGGGGGCAGGGCAAGCGCCACTTCTCGCGAGACTGGAGACCAGGAAGACGGCTGCAGAATCGGGCTGCCGCTGCAGCCGCGACTGAGGCAGCTGGTGCTGCTGCATCCCAACCTCTTGCCTCCGAGCCTACGCCTGATCTCTAGGTGAGGAGGCGGGAAGTGGTCGAGCCGGTCAGGCCAGGGCTGCGCAGGGGCGCTGTGTCTACAGAAACTTCCGAGGGATTCAAGCTGCGGCCTGTCAGAGCCGGTCAGGGAGGCGCCCACACTCCTGACAGGATAAGATGGCGGCGATGGCGCCTGGAGGTAGCGGCAGTGGTGGCAGCGGCGTGAATCCATTCCTCAGCGATTCGGACGAGGACGACGACGAGGTAGCGGCGACGGAGGAGCGGCGGGCCGTACTTCGGCTGGGTGCCGGAGGTGGCCTAGATCCTGGCTCTGCGGGCTCACTGTCGCCCCAGGATCCCGTGGCCATAGGCAGCGGTGTGCGGCCGGGGCTCCCTGGGGAGGCGGCGGCGGCGGCCCTGGGGGGCACCGGGGAGACCCCAGCCCGCTTGTCCATTGATGCGATCGCGGCTCAGTTGCTGCGCGACCAATACCTGCTGACCGCTCTGGAGCTGCACACGGAGCTGTTGGAGAGCGGCCGCGAGCTGCCCCGGCTGCGCGACTACTTCTCCAACCCCGGCAACTTCGAGAGGCAAAGCGGGACCCCGCCCGGGATGGGGGCGCCGGGGGTCCCTGGAGCAGCTGGCGCTGGGGGCGCCGGAGGACGGGAACCGAGCACCGCGTCGGGCGGGGGACAGCTCAGTAAGTGCACGCAGCCTGTCACACTCCGACAGGGTCGTTGAGGCCGCGGGGAGTTAACTGCTGGGGAGAGGGGTTTTTCTGGGTGGGGACTGAGTGGAGGGACGCTTTGGGGCCCGAGAGCGTTGTGGTGGGGAGACCCTAGGCGGTGGGAGCAGAAGGATTCGACGGTGACTGTTCTCTCCGCCTGCCTCCAACCGTTGGCTGGTATTGCACTTGCTTCCTGGCTCCCCTGTTGGTGTCAGTGTCCGTAAAATACCAGGAGTTTCGAGGTCACTGGCAATTACAGGACTCCAGAAGGCTCCCTTGTAAACTAGCTTATTGCCATCAACCCTTTTCCTTTTTCTCCAATTGCCTGAATTACCCTACCGGGAAATACTGTTTCTTAAATTGCCCGCAGTAATGCTTTGGCGCGAAGTCAAGGATGGGAAATGTGGCCGCTCTCTCTACAAAGTCAGACACACTTCAGACCCTTTGTCTTTGAGACGATTTTGTCACCCCAGAATGGGGTTTTTCTGCTGCATAAAACTTGTTCTGTGTAAATAAAGTCGATGAAATTCAGTGTCAGTTGCCTGAATTTCAGGAGTGTTCAGAGCTACGGGAAATCCAAGGAGGCAGGTTCTGCCTCCAGTAGTTTTATCTCCCCATCCTACCACCTTGCAGGTTTTTTCATTGGATAAGATTCGAATTTTCTTTATTGCCTTGCCCCAGTTATTTTAGCAGCATAGAGTAATCGTTTATCCCATTCGTCGTATATTTATAAGCGTTTCTTACGGCTTGAAAACTTACTTATCAAGGTAGTACTGTGCTGTAGCTGTCCCAGCATCCATCCCCCTTTGGGGAGGCATTTTAAATTGTTTCTTACGAATATATGAGATGTTTTAGTGTGTTATATGAGGCCAACTGGAATTTGGCCTCATGCATTAATTCTGTATTAACAAATGTTAACATAAAATTTTTAAACTGTAGCCTAATTGATTTTTTGGGGGGGTGCGTCTCCCTATTTTTGAATGGTGCCAGAGACTTAAACACTGACAAACTTAGATGTAGTGCAAGTACAGAGTACATTTTCTATCAAGGTAAATCTTAACCACATTTCCTTCTTGGATATGGTATTTTCTCAGTAGATGTAACTTCCTTGGACTTACTATGTAGGGTAATCTTTTTCAGGAAGAGATTTTCTTGTTGCTGCCCTTTAAGACTATAAAATGTGACAAGGAGCAGTGTAACAAAATTGTTTGGTGGTGGTGGTGGTGATTTTTTTTTTTAATAAAAATAAATCTCTAAATTATCTAATGACTTTGACCAGGCAAGCTCTAGCTCAAATATCACCTTTGTAAATGCTTCCCACATTTCCCAGGCTTAGGTAGTTGCTTGGTTCTTTTATTGTACTTTTGAACCTACAAAACCTTTATCATAGCCTTTAGCCATATTGTATTTGATTTGTTGACAGTGTCAGTTTTCTTCATTCTAAGTTCTTCAGAGCCTTTTTTACATTGTCCTTGGCCTGTTGTTAAACATGATTGAATTGTTTCAGCTGTTTCCAACAATATTAGTATAATGAAATGAGTTATTCTTTACTTCATAGCATTATTCATTTAATCTTAAAGGATTTCTTAACCTTTCAGTCTGCTTTATTATAGCTTTATATCACTGTTTATGGTGAAAATTCCCCCTTATAAACTTTTTGTATTGAAATAATTATATTTATAATTTACTTTGTTAAAATGCAGTGTTTTAGAGTTAAAACTTCTAAATGCCTTTGCAGTATATATCTTTTTATTTTCTTGAAATAACTTGGGTGTTATGATCAAATATCACAAATATTCATGTGCGCCTTTGCTTTTCTATTATCCTCATTTATTTGGACCTGTTTTAGGCACTAGATATATATGTGCATGTATATACATGAAAATTACTATATTTTTAGTTAATACAAAGTAAATGAACTATGGGGGAAAAATAAAAATTATCCATAAACCCACCAATAGTATTTGCTTTTCCTGTCTTTAATGGTGTTTGACTTATCTTTGCTATGTATATATTTTAAAAAGCAAAAACTGGATTAGACTGCTTAACATCGTTTTGTGTTGACAGGCACTGTATCTTTCACCATTAAATTTGAGACAAAATTTCCTACAGTAAAATGCATCCATTTTAAGTGTGCACAGTTTGATGAATTTTGGCAAATGAATTAATCACTACCACAATTACAATATAGAACATTTTTATTATCTGCAGAATTCCTTCATTCTTTGCGCTTTTTATACTGACTCCCATTAGACTACCACTGATCACTTAGAACATGATTTCTCAGCCTGGGCCTGGGCACTTGATATTTTGGGCCTGAAAACTCTTCTCTGTGGCTGTTGTCCCGTGCATAATGGAATGTTAACAGCATCCCTGGCCTCTACCCACCAGATGCCACCCTACCTTATGCCATCAAAGCATGACAACCAAAATATCTCTATCATTGCCTGTGGAAGGAGAGGGCAAAATGTCCCCAGTTGAGAAATACTTCCATAGATAAGCTTTTCCTTTTCTAAAATTTTGTGTAAGTGGAATCATGGAACATTATGTGTGTGTCTGTCTTCTCTTGCTTGACATATGTTTAAAATTCGTCCATTACTTTGTGTGTATTAGTAGGTCATTCCTTTATGTTTTATCCTTTCATCTGTTGTTAGACGTTTGTGTTTTTTCCAGTTTGGGGCTATTATAAATAAAGCTGTTATTTATGTTTATAAGAAACTGCCAAACAGTTTTTCAAAGGAAATCATTTAAAATTTCCAGCACCAATGTATGAGTGTTCCCATTTCTACACATCCCCTAAACATTTGGTATTTTCAGACTTTTTAAGTCATTTTAATGAGAGTATAGTGGTATCTCATTGAGGCTTTAAACTTTATTTCCCCGATGACTAATAATGTTGAACTACTTTTCCTGTATCCTTAGCCATTAGTATATAATTTGTGAAATGTCTGTTTAAATCTTTTATTTTAGTTAGGTTTTTTGTTTGCTTGTTTTGTCTTGTTATTGAGTTGCAAGAATTCTTTGTATATTCTGAACCCAAGCCCTTTATTAAATAAGTTTTTTGCAAATGTTTTCTCCCAGTCTGGTTTGCCTTTTAATTTTCTTAACAGTGTGTGTTGTGAACAAAAGTTTTTAATTTAATCAAGTTCAGTTGATCTGTTTTTTCTTTAATGATTCATGTTCTTTATATCTTATATAAGAAATAATTACCTACTTCAAGGTTGCAAAGATTTTCTTCTAGAAATTTTATAGTTGTAGCTTTTACAGTTAGGTTTTGATGGCTGGAAGAATATTTAAATGAAGGTGTCATAAAAGAAGAGCTATTTCTTAAATATTCCTCCTATAAGCATGCACACAAACTTTTAGTACAGTTTAAGTTGCGTTGCATGTCAAAAATATCAATGCTGGTAGGTGTCTTAATTGAGTCAGAAAATAGATAACACTAAAATACTTATAAAACTGTGTTTTGATGATTCTGACTAAACTCCTGATTGCAAAGTTATTATCTCTAAGACTGGGCTACTGTCTATTTTTGAAGGTCTTCTGTATTCAATTTTTGGTTTTTGTTTTTTTTTTTTTTTTGAGTTGGAATCTCACACCGTTGCCCAGGCTGGAATGCAGTGGCACACTCTTGACCACCCCAGCATCAAACTGCTGGACCCTGGCTATCCTTTTGCCTCAGCCTTCCAAGTAGCCGGAGCTACAGGTGCACGCTACCATGCCCGGCAAATTTTTTATTTTTTGTTGTAGAGATTAGGTCTCACCAAGTTGCCCGGGCTGGTCTCGAACCTGTGGGCTCAGGCAAGTCACTCACCTCGGGCTCCCAAAGTGCTAGGATTACAAGCTGAACCACCGAGCCTGGCGCTCTGTATTCTATTTTACCATGTTGATTATTACTACTTGAATATGATTTTATAATACTCGATAAGCATTTATTGCTTAATTATAGGCAGTGTAAAGATTGGTCATATGGATTATCTAAAATATTGATTTATTTTGCATTTTTTTGGTGTTTCTGATCTGAAAATTCAGAATACTTCATAATAAATATGTAATCAAAAGTAGTTTTCTTGTAATGGTGTTTTAAAACAATATAATTTATTAACTTTATAATTTTAGATTTAGTGAATTATTTCCCTACAGTTTTTGACCTAAGATAATAGTGTAGCATAATTGTACCTTTTAACATACTTTAAGAAACCTTCATACTGTGTTAGTCTTTTTTCTTGACTAAAAGAGTAATCCATATTTACAAAATACTAAAATATAAAAAGGATATAGCTTGTAAGTTTGATGTTTTCAATAGAAGAATTTCTATTAACTGAATAAAACTTTAACAGATATTCTAAGGAAATTGCAGTGTTGAATAAATTAATGTAGCATCGTTGCAATGTTAAAAGTAGATTTACTTGATGAACCAATTAGATCTTGTATTTAATAAATATAGTGTGTGTACATTGATATATGTTTAAAATTCATCCATTACTTTGTGTGTGTTAGTAGATCATAAAACTGTATTTGTGTGTGCGTGCCCTGTATTTTTGTCAGTTGATAACTTCTATTTGGTAATTATTTTGCTTTCCAATTAGATAGCAAGACAAAAATTGTGGCAATGACATTTCATGCTGAATAGATGATAGTAATTTAACCAGAAGAATGGTTGTTCTGCTTGAACCCTTAGGGCTCTAATCAAAATTGGGTTCTAATGTCTTAAGATGAGCCCAGTTCTTTGAACAGTAGATACAGTATGTGATCAAGTGGGAAGGACAACTGACATGCTTTTCAGCAGTAGACTTCTTTTATTTGTGCTTACCATGTCTTCAAATTTTTATTAAGTAGCTAGTTAGGAGGCAGTCATTTATGATTGAATGTAATAATTTTGTTTATTTTATTTATTTATTTTTGAGTTGGAGTCTCACTCTGTCACCCCAACTGGCGTGCAGTGGCAAGTTCACAGCCACCGCAGCCTTGAC